TGTCGGGTTTTTAAAATGTACTGTTAACTACAGTTAATATATACTAAATGGTGATTCATTAATTCCCTCTGTGTTTATCGCTGCTGTTGACAGTGAACCTGGTTTCGTTCTGCTCCGCTCACCCTCTTCCAGTCCTCTGGGGACAGAAGTCGGATCTGGTCTTGAGGGACGAGGTCCTTCAGGATCCTAGTAATATTCTGGAAATGGGATTTATCCTCTTCATACTTCACCCGGTAGATCAGAGCCGCCAGCTGGTACACCTCCTCCCTTGAACACTTGTGGTAGCCGCGAAGATACTTGGGCAGCTCCTGCACAGACAGACACTTTGTCCTTGAAAAGCAGCTAGTGAAAAGCATTACGTCGTCTGCATACAGACGACGCAATGCAGCCATCTGAATCAGGCGTGTAGAAACAGAGACATCTAAAAGGTTCAGGACAGAAGACTTAGAGGACCGGGTTTGAAGACGCCTGCTGCCTGTAAACACGTGCGTGTCATCAGCCAAAGTCTTGGTCGGTGGGTGTATTGGTTTATCTCTAGTTATATAAGGCTAACATAGATATATATACGATTATGTAAACGAGGAAGCAGACAAACAAAGGATGACATGGAGGAAGAAAACAACAGGACACAAGAAAAGAATGAAGTTAAGATAAGAAAAGGACAAAACAAAAAGGGGCAAAGAAATAAGGTAGGAAACAAACATGGAAGCGAGACAAAGAAGAATCAGGAAAAAAAAAGAAAAGGAGGAAGATAGAAAACTAAAGGGATAAAGAAAATAAGACTATAAAGAAAAAGGACCGTCTCTTTAAAAAACAGATTTGAGTTGCTTAAAAGGGCCGAATTCTATGGAGGACCAACTCTGCCGTATTTAAAAATAAATACATAAATAAATAAATGCTCAATAAATATATAAGCGTACAATTAATTGCCACCAAAAAAACAATAAACAAATAAATCTAAGTAGAAATTAAATTATACAGTGAGGCATAAATGTTTATAACTCTTTTAATTAGTTTATTTATTTGCCTTTGTAATATTTACCTTATTTCATTTTTTTGTCCTTTATAATCTTCAACTTTATTTTTCAATTACTTATATTTTTAAGTATTTATTTATTTATATGCATGTTTTAATATTTTTGTCAAATATTTTCAGGCTCAATAGGGACTAAATAAACACTATTGTTATAATATACGTACTTTGCCCATTTAACAGGAAAAATATACATCTAAAAAATCCACATTTGCCAGAGGATGTCTGGGTAGATGCTTCCTGCTTGGTTTGTATATTTTGTACGTCCTTATTCGCATCTTCACTGTGAAGCAAACCATTTAATACCCGGTGTAAACATTTCTATAAATCACCTGGTAATAGTGGAAGATGGAGTCTGCCATAGAGTCTTTGCCTGGCACCGTGTTGGTCCACAGCTTCTTCATGAAGAACACCTGATAGGTCAGTGAAGGCATCACACCTGCAGTACCTGCAAGCAGCCAAACAGTGAAAAGTCAGTAATTGGGGGGTGAAAATTAGTGTATTTAGTATAATTAAATAAATAAATAGTATAGTAACTTAAGCAACTATTTTCCTCAATTATAAAGTTACCTGTGCAAAATGTTAATCAAATAAAAAATAAAAGTCAAAGTCACTTAGTTACTGTTTTGTCAATTAATCATTTAAATTTTCTATAAACAAGAGCAAATTAAAATCCTTAAAGAAAAATTGCATCCGCTGGTTTACATGGTAAGATGGTAATTAGCCTGTACTGGTAAAGCTCTACGTACCTGCTGACATATGCCATTTGTGTTTTAGATTTGTATCTTTGTTAGATTCGTTATAAATTGGAAATTATAAACAAAATCATATCCTCTTTCTTTCTTCCATGTATTTAAATGTATTGGAAATTCCAATTGAAAATGACTGAGAAACAAATTCCACCCCAACCCTCCAAACATCCCAAATCCTGAACAAAAATGTTAAAATAAATAACAATTTCATGTCTGCCATTGCTTTTTACCGTCTCTACTGTGTCTTGCTTTTTTAATCCAGTCAGTCAGGTGCCTTACAAAGTCGAAGAAAAAGTCACCGTCTGGCACACTGATGACCTAAAGATCAGGGAGAAATGCAACTATTAAATTAAAATAAAACAGCTGCATTTTCT